GGGGAGGTTGCACAATAGCATTAACAGTATCAGCAGTATCAGTCATGCAGTAAAAGCAGAAGTAAGTTAGCAGCAGTAGCATCGCCTCATGCAAGCCCGCGGGTTCCCTCATCTTGTCTAAGATGTCAAAATACGGTTAAATCGTCCGCTAGAGATGTACGCGCCCAGAATCCAACTATCTGCATGTGTCCATGTCGAAACATCATTTGGGCTTTTGCGTTCTGTGGACCGCTGCGTGTGGCTCACACGCCATCACGATTAGCAGCAACACCTTGCGTTTCTAAGCAGCCAATAATGCCCCCAAGCTTAATTTCATGAACAAAAGCGATCACGTGCTTTAGCAACAAGCAGGCAAACTTTTTGTAGAGCCCACCCTCCCTCTGCTTGCCATAACAGGCAACCCTTGTCTTTCTTTATCTTATAGGAGGGTTTCTATTCTTCCTCTTCACCCTCCCCTCCACCCCTCCCTCCCATTTCCCCCCCATCCCATACACACACGCACACACACGCACCTCCTGCCCCAGGTAGGTGGCACACAGCGCCTGTGTCGCCACATTCAGGCACTCGAAGAACTGAATGGCCAACAGCCAAATCTGGGGGACGGGGTAAGGGGGTAAGGGGGGTAAGGGTAAGGGGTGAAGACGAACCAAGAGCGAGGAAGGGGGGAAGGGGGGAAGAAAAAATGTGGCCATGTGGCCATGTGGCCATGTGTGTGGTGTATGTGACCATGTTTGGGGGGATGCTGGAAGGGCAGTCGTGGTTCACCCGGTGGGAAGGTCGGAGGTGCAGCCCTAGGGGGGAAGGGGAGCGGGGCCCAGTTCCGGTATCTACGTACACACTGTATCGACATATACATACATACATACATACATACATACATACATACATACCCCCCCTTCCCCCACACACATACAAACACACACGTACCTGTCTTATGACCTCGAAGGACGCCTGGTAGGTGGAGCCCATCCGGATCGACAGTGCGGAGGCGTAAATCACCATGCCTGATCAGGACACACACACAACATTAAAGTAAATCTTACCCAATTAGTAATAGTAGTAAAAGAAAATTATTCGTGACAATCAACGACAAAGCAATTCACGATGGAGGGAGGGACGGGCCCCCAGATCCAAACAGGGCAGCATGATAGACAGACAGACAGACAGACAGACAGCCCACAAAACACCCACAGTCCCCCCCGGGGGGTGACCCGGCGGGAAGCATTCGGGGGAAGGGGGTGCCCGAGTGAGGAATAAAAACACCCACGGCAGGCGAGGATGCGGAAAACACGCTCCTGCACACACAGCACAACACATACACACACAGAGAGAAAAATGCGACTCGTCTCCCCCTCCCCCAAAACCCGTCCCATGCACACCCCAAACATTTCCCCTCAGCTACAAAATCAAACCTACCAAACGAGATGATGTTCCGCGCCCCCAGCACCGCCCCGAGCTTTAACGTGGGCACCATAACCGACAGCGGGGGCGGTCGCCGCAGGTGTCTCGCCTGGACCACAACTCCCCCTCCCCCGCCCCCCCCTCGTCCCTTGGCGAACAGCGCCCCCAGCAGCAGGCAGCACGACACGATCTGGGCGGCAGCAGTGGCCACAGCGCTGCCGACCACCCCCAGGCGGAGGACTGGAAAAAAGGGGGGGAGTGGGGAGTGGGCGTGAAGGGGGTTTGGTGGGTTTGGAGGGGAGAGAGAGATATAGGGAGGGAGGGAGGTGAGGGAGGTGAGGGCAATGCGGTACAAAAAACACGACCCAACCCCCCAACCCCCCGCCCTTCAAGATGACCAATCCCGTGACGGTACCCTGCCCTGTCCTCAACGCTTTACGACGGTACGGAAGACCAAGTCAGTAATTCTATACGTTTTCGGATATCGTGTCGTACGTGGCTTACCGTACAGGAACAGCACGTTGAGTCCCAGGCTAACCGCCGCGGACACGAGGGCGCCAAATAGGGGTGTCCGCGTGTCTTTGAAACCCCGGAATACGGCAGTAGCCACGAAACCCAGCAGCACCGCGGGGATGGCCAGGGAACGGACCTGGTCGCCAAGAGGTCCCGTGTGCGTGTCCGTGCGTGCGTGCGTGTATTTGTGTTTTTATTGGGGGGGAAAAAGGGTAGGGGGCAGAACAATTGGGGTTTTAGGGCTTTATGTACCGGGGGGGGGGGGTAGCTTCATGGCGTTCGGATAGCAGGTGGTTGACTCGGGAGGCAGCCACCCATCTACCTCTAACATCGACCCGTTGATCCGCAACATAATACCCACCCACCCACACATAAATGCATGCAAACATACATACATACATACATACATACATACATACATAGACAATCGTGGCAACCACACCCCCAATGCAATACCCGAGATCCACACCCACCCACCCACCCTGATGTAGTCGATTGCGAAGGCGGCCACAGCTGCCTCGGGGGGCTTCAACACTGCGCGTTGTGTGTGTGTGTGTGTATTATATTGGGGGGAGAAAACAGGCGAGGCGAGGAGAGGCGAGGAGAGCGGTGTTAAGCCAGCCAGGACCCATGGGTCAGTGCGGTGCGGTGCTGGGGGAGAGACACTGTGTTGGGAGGTTGAGGGGGTGTTGAAGAGGCGCTCACGATGCCTGGGAAGGGGGAACTTGGGGTCTTAGGAGCCACGTCATCGCCGACATCATTACATTATTAACATTATTTCCTTTTTAAGCTAAATCACCAAAGTGACGCAAAGTGATCCCTCCGGCAAAGAGTTAAAAATACGATTAGCGGAAGGAAAATTTTCCACGACTGTACGACAAAAAGAAGAAAATAAAACAGAATGCGGAATTTCCAAAAAAATGAAAAGAGGATGAAAAGGAATTTCTGAATAACCAATTCTTTCACCCCGGTGGTACTGCGACCCCGGTACTCACTCGCCACGATGGCCTCCGCGCCGGCGAACATGGCTGCCGCACTCGCAACGCCGCTCACCACCGCGATCCACAAGCTCTTGGCCACGATGCACGACACCTGAATTTGGATGTACGACACGTTCAGCCGGTACATGCGCGTAGGCGTAGGCGGAGGCGAACAGCTGACAGAAAAAGACACACACATAGATACAAATATACACGCACGCATACCTACATACATGCATACACACGCACAGATACACAGGCAGCACAGACATACACATGAACACGGCAAAAACCTCACCCGACCCCCACGCAGCGCCCGGCGCCAAACCCACCCATTTTCCCCCCTCCCCCTCCCCCATGGCGTCAACCAACCCTCCAACCACCCAACCCCCAACCACCACAAGTTACCCCCTCTCCCCTCCCGCGTGCATCATCCGCCCCCTCAGGTTGGCTTCCGCTTGGCTGCATGCCACTGAGAACGTCGTCTGTCCGTTTTTTTACGACTCCGGTGAGGCTAACGTTGTGTGGTTTTGTCTACACCTTCCCCACATCGACCACATCGCTAAGTGTGCCCTTTTTCGAGTTTTCGAGTTTTCAATGGCCGGCTTAGGTTTAGAAAGCCGCGGATATCTCTATCCGGAGGGGGCGGAGGTGGGGGGGACCGGGGGTGCATGTGTCGCTATTTGGGTATGCATCCACACGTCTCCACCACGTAAGACACAAACTCCACGATAAAAACGAAACCCACGCGCACCATTTTCTTCCCCCCCCCACCCCCCACCCATCCTCCCCCCCGCCCCCCGCCCCACCTCTTCATCGT